TTAAGTCCAAGGGTAGGATTTGGCACGGCAGTACACATGCACTTCCAAAAATTAATGTATTCCTTTTTTAGGAGTTTCTATTCCCAGATATCCTGCTGGTTTAAGCAGTTCCTTTGTGCCCTTTACATACTGTGCCTTAATGACTGTATTGTAGCGTGAGCGTCCAACTTACCAACATTTCATCTATAAGTTTCTTCAGAATCTCAGCAACTCTTTTGCACTTCCTGGAAGCATAGTTGTAGATGAGAGTGGTTGCCCCCTGGTTCCAGTCCACAACGATGACGTTCATGTCCTCTACAGAAAGCAGGAGATGCACCAGGTCAGGGATCCAGACGGGGGCAGAGCCTGTGAGCCGGTACCCGTGGATGATGAAGGTTGTTTTCTTGGTCACATCAAGGTACTCGGAGGCTGTTGAGTGCAGCTCCTCGGCACAGGTTGGGTTCTGCCGTGTGTAGAGCAGCAGCTTCACTTTCAGCTCTGTCCCTATCAAAGCATTCCCCAAACCAAGGGCTGTGAATGCAGGACATGTCTCCTGAGGATCTGAAAGGAGCAGAGTGGCAATTGGAGTTTGGCACCAAGGGGTTTTCTTTAGCCTGTTGTACCTGCCAGCCCTGCACAGGGCAGGAAAGTGTGTAGTGCATTGTCTGAGCACAGGGGCTGCTCCCGTCTCCCTCTCTATAATGCTCATGACTGAAGTTACCTTGGAACTTAGGTTTCTTGCTGTGCTAGAACAAAGAGCAATCACACCTTTTTGGAGCAGCATTCCCTGAAACACCACAGCCTAGCTTCCTGTGGCAACTGGGAGTTGGCAGAGACTGTCCAAAAATCTCACTGGTGTGAGGAAGGTATTAGAGACCAACAGGTGGGATGGTTGCTGTACCAGTTTGTGAGCACACCCAGGTGCTCTGGACGGGTTCTCAGCTAAGCAGGTATCCTGGGAGTTGGATTGTACCTCCAGCCTGGAGCTGCAGAGAGTCTTACTGTGTTGAGGGGCAGCTCAATGCTTCATTTGTATGTGCAGATGCAGCCTGGTATTCCAGACTGCAAAATCGGGCACCCTTGAGTCTGTGAGATGGTAATTGTGCTTTATACACAGCTGAAGTGTAACTGAATTTGATGAAAGTACTGCTCGATGGGATGGCCTGTGCCATTGGAAAGCCTGCCTTTGTTCTTTGCTTTTCCAGCAGAACACCAGCTGAACCTTCAGAGCCCAATGCAGTCTCCAACAGGGCACTGGCAGGGAATGGAATAACTGTCTCCAGATAGATATTGCTTATGAAGGCCCTCCCAGGTTTAGTAGCCTCTTCCTGACTCACAATCTTTTCCCTCAAATCCTTGTAATCGTATTGAAGAACCTTGCTGGGCAGAGTGTTTCTCACACATATGTCCAGAGCTGCAGTAATTGTTCAGGCTGCAGTTCCTAGAGGAATTTTCTTGATCTTTGTTGCTTAAAGGAATGTGCAGTAGGTAGCAGGGTTTAGAAAACCTGCAGCTGTAAGTTAATTATGCTCTAGCAAATCTCCAATGCTCTGTGCATTTTAATTTCTGAATGATGAAACTCTCACAGTTTCTATGTGCAACTTTCCCTTTTCCCCTCCTCAGGAAATCAGGAGCACGAGAGTGATAGAAATGCTATGTGCCCAGCACATAAAACAATCTGCTCAGTTGCCATAGTTCTGCTAATTATTTTGTAGAAGCCCCAGGAGCTCCAGAAATAAAAGTTAATAGGCTAAAAGGATGTTGCAGTTAAATCCAACTGAATATTTTGAATTGCCACCATAAATTCAGAAATAAATTTTAACATCTGAAATCCATGGAGTTCTTTCTGTATAAAGCCTATGGTAACATATGAATGGTGTGACAGCCAGGCCCAGTGAAATCAGGGGCCTTGAGGCATTGCCTCTGCAGTGCTTCACTCAGAGCTTCCAGGAGCAGTGTGACTCTGCTCCCAAGAGGAAAGGTTACCTAGGTGCTGCCTCCTGGCCAGCCTGCTCTCAGCTCATTCTTACAGTGCCAAGATGCTCCAGGGAAACAGCAGCAGGAGTTCTGTGACACTGCTCTTGTGGAGATCTTGTGGAGAAAGTAACTAGCAGAGAAAAATTAACATTTTTTGCTGATGCACACCAGCTCACACAGTGAGACTCAATGACTGTCCTCTAGGTGCTACTGCAGCATAAAAGAATACAACTGTGTGTTTTACTAATAACAAGGTATTGTTTTAGTTATTGTATAATAGCACTATATAGTGTTGTTAATTATTTTTACTGCCACTGAAGCTGTAGCAATACAGGCAGAAATGCCAGGCAAGAATTACTTCTATATGGTGCAAGATTGCACTGATTGCTTAATTTGTTTCTGTATCTCCTGCGCTGTGCTGAAGCTTGCCCAGAGGAGCACTATGTTTGTCATCAGAACAACCCAAACCTTCTGGTACAGAAGTGCTTTCAAAGAGCTGGTCAGCATTTGCTGCTACCTAACACAGGGACTGTATAAAGAGCCTTGTTAAATTTGCACCAGGTCTGTTAGATTGATTCTGTTTTGATTAATAAAATCAAATCAGTTCTAATAAGGGGAGAAAAACTGCCAGCTTCTCTTCTGACAAGCTGGTGCCAATCCCAGTCTCATTTACCATGTGTTCAAAAACTGATACATGAGGATAGCCAGTTACTCTGGCTTTGCTCTTCCTTCTGCTAAGCACAGCGACTCCTACCCAAATGGCTGGAAGTGTCTCTGAAACTCCAGGATGATTGGGGCAAGTGACTTACTGAGATTTACTCTGCAAGCAAATAAATGAGGTAGAAACTTATCCCCTGGCCCTGTACTTTAACCATGTCCAACAGATCACTCCCCTCCAGTAAAGGGGAATGAACATGGCCATTAACTCAGCATTCCAGTAACTCATTTCCAGCCCTACCTTAGCTTGCTAGATGGCCTCTGCAATCCCTTTTCTCCTTCTGCTCTGTTTTCTGATATGTAAAATAGGAGGCAAACACTCGTTTGCTGGGCAAGGTGTTCCGATCTCCCACAATCTGTAGCAGGGAGCATAGAAACGTGTTAAACCCATGTACCTGTCAGGGAGCTGGACATGTTTGGTCTCTAGCCTGAGATCAGCCTCCAAGGTGCTATTGCAGCAGCGGAGGCATCTTCAGAGTAACTTGGTTCTGAAGTTTTATATATATATATATATTACTCCTGGTATTTATTGCCAGTGCTCTAAAGGGCTGCATTCCCCTAGTGTCTCTCATTCCTTTCTAGGAGATGGTGTTTGGAGGCTTTTTCTTTGATGTTGATCCTATGGACAGGCAGGGTTTGCCATGGTGGTGTTTTGGGGCTGTGGTACTGAGCTGTCTGCATGAATAAAGTAGCAGCTGAGGTTTTTACCAGCCTGTTCTCTTGCAAAAGGAAGTTCCAGCAGATCACCTCAGCGAGTCAGTGGTCACTTGGCCAGATGTGTGGCTGTCCCAGCTGTGGTCCTTGGGACACAGAGCTGATCTCCCAGTGAGCACCTGCATGGAGCTCAGGTGAGCGTGTTGCTGCTTCTCTATCTGCAGGAGCTCTGGCCCTGCAGCCCCTTGCCTGGGCTTTGTACAGTGTGTGTCATCAGACTGGTCATCAACAATATCTTTCCCCCTTTAAGCACTCTTTACTACCACACCACAAGTCTCGAGAGCATTGGTGGTGCAGATTTCCATCACTTTTCCACACAGAGGGTGTGCCCTCCACTTCTAAACTGGTCCTCAATAGCTCACTGCATTTTATTCGTGCCTTTTCATACCATTCTCTTTTCCTGCTTCTCTGACTGCATTTCCTATAGAGTATTAAACAAACCAAGCAAAAGGCGACCCTGAGATTACTCCAGAGGACCCGATGAAACACAAGTTAGTATTTATAAGAACACTGTTTTTTTTAACCCTGTTTGTTTTCCCTACAAAGCAGAGAGCTGTAACTTGCCTTGCTCCCATGTGTATGCTAACACAAGGCAGTACATTTGTTTATTGTTACACAGGTTTGTTCTTGTAGGGCTGTGAGGCTATCAAATGGAGCTTATTGTTCATAAATGGTAATTCATCCTTTGCCTCTGTCATACATGACACCCCTGAGAAGAAATCATTATTCTCTGAAGATTTCGAATGACATTTTCAGTGTCGATGGATAGTACTTATATAAGAGAAATGTTTGCAAAGGGAGGAAAAGATAATAAAATATAGTTCTGGTTTTCCATTTGGAACCCTTAGAACTGACTACATTCATGTAACCAGTATAATTTGCTTTGCCAAAATAAATAATGCTGGTGAGAAACCCTGCGTAGTAACTGTAAATGCAGAGGGCAGGTATATTCATGTTGCTGTAAAGCACAGAAAATGTGTTATATTCGACAAAAACATTCAAAACAAATGGTTGAGTTCTTACCTGTTTTCACCCCATACAAAAGGTAGATGAACACAAAACACAGCCTCAGCATATGGACTTCCACATGGAACTTCTACGGGTAAGAGATTTGGAGGATCCCACAATTTCTCTGATGTGTCTGCTGGCTCTGACAGCAGTTTGCTTGCTTTTTTTCTGCCACTAACAGTAGGTGTGGTGAAAGGAGGAAGTTACCAGCCAAGAAATGAAGACCAGTCAAATGAAGCTTCTTCTTAAGAAGGTGGGGCACCTTCTATTCTAGCAGATTTCCTTTATTTAAATATAGTTTGCCTTGGGGGATGACTAATCAAAGACACAAATGGGTTGGTATCACCCTGTAAGCACCAATTTGACTACACGTGTTGAAACTATGGAAATTATTGCCTGTCTATTTGTCTTTCGCAAAGAATGTCAGGAGGATTGTAGATTGTCACTGCAAGCCCGATAAGAATCTGGGCGGGGCCGGCGCTTGGTTTCGCAGGGCCCTGCCTTTGGAGAGTTCATGATGATCCCTAATAGCTCCCATGTCATTCCTGCTCTCCTGAATGCCATGGCCCAAATCCTGTCACCACCTCGGGCAGGAGACAGGTGCACAGCACTGTGTTGTGACAAAGGGAAAGTACCACTTCAAGGTGTCTGGGCTCCCAAGCAACTGCTGTCTTGGATAACACTCATACAACTGGCATTCCCACATTTTCCCACTGACCTGCTGGAACCTCACAAATTCAGCTCTAATTCAAGTAAGGAAGGCTTTTTTTTCCCTTGCTGGATGGGAAGAAGGAAATCACCAAGGAAAGACAACTGTCAGGGGCAGGAAAGGAAGTCTGAAATTGGAGCTGGAAGGTATAGTGGCAAAATTGGGAAAATGAGGGTGCTGGGGTTTGTAAAGGGATGAGAAGGGAATGGAGCAGGGATGGCTGCTGGTTAGAAGTTGGGTGGTAGTTTTGCCTGGCATTTTCTTAGCAAATTCTTCAAACATAGGCCAGGGAAAGGGAACGTGGGGTGGATTAGAAATACCTCATTAAACCCAGGCTCTGCTTTCTTTCCCCTGATGATGATCCAGTGAGGAGCTGAACTATTACAGCTCCCAGTGGCATAGCTGGTTCTTTGGTCCATGCTGTATTTATTAAGCTTTTTGCCTTTGCTAATTCTCAGCTTAATCCTTAACTCTTCCTGATGTCTGCAGCTCCTTTTCGTTCAGACAAGTGTGTGCTGCTCCTCTGATGCAAGCATGGATCAACTTGAGGCAGAGCATGTGCCTAGCATGATTCTTTCTCAAGCACCTTGAGCTCTTCAGTGTCAAGCAGCTCAGCAATGTGAGTCTCACTGAACGTGTGCCATGCTGTGATCCCATTTGATAATCACCCAGGCAAAAGTTGGGGCTTGTTATTTTGAAGACTATAAACACTGAGGAAAGACACCAAATAACATCTGTGGATCTGCAAGCTCCAGGACAGTGTTTTTTCTGCTGCACTGGCAAAATAATATAATTTAAACATTGTTTTCCTTCCAGCTCCTTTCTCACCTCTACCAGTAATCCTAAACTCTGTCAAAATATTTTCCGTTAGCAAGAAGTTCTGCCAATGGTGAGATGGAATTGGTCCAACAGTGAAACATGAAGAACAGAAGGCTTTTACCTGTTGCAAGAGACATGTGACAATCAGAGATAAAATAAGGTAAATCAAGAGGGCCTTGCCTTTCATCTCAGTACAAAAAGAGGTAACACTTTGTTGCCTGAAGCTAAGCCCTACTAATTTCTTTTTTCCTATCACTTTTTTGGGATTTTTATTTCCTATCTGAGGTTGGGATTTTTATTTCCTGAGGTTGCTCATCCGAGTGGCTCTCACATCAAGAGGCCCTACATTGGGACTGGCAGGTCCTTCCCTGGAACTCTCAACCATCCCTCAGAAGACCATGATTTTGAGTAACCACCATTTCAGCATAAATTAGACTGTCTGTTCACTGTACACATTGGCAAACAATCCCAGGATGTCAGCACTGGAAATGCTGTCCACAACCACCATCAGATACTGAGAGCAGGAATTCAAGTGCTTACAGGTTACTCCTTGCCCTTGATTCTGCTGACCAGCCTTTCACACCTGCCCCACACATCCTGCTTCAGCCACACACCTGTTAAAGATGGCAACAACTCACAGCTATTTGGGTTTTGCACACTGAACTCTAGACAATAATCTCACTGTGAGCTTTGAAATCAATTGCAATTTGAGACAGTAAAAACTTTTTAATCATGTGTAGAAAACATTTAAGATCAGATTTGGCACCAACTTAAGAATAATTTAACAGAAAACATGAAATAATCTTATAAGCATGAAACATTTTGCACTTGGCTCTGAGATGTCAGAGCCTCTGCTATTTCACAATCAAGAAAGAAGCATTTTAAACTCTTCATTGTGAGCAGAACCATTGTTGGAATCTGAAAGTTTCCGAAATGTTGTTTTCTCCTTAGGGCAGTTGATGATAGCAATGGTCAGCTGAAAAATATTTTTATGTTGCATTCATGGATATGAAACCCCATTGATTCACTAATTTCCCGTGGGTGGAACGTTTTCATGGAGGTACTGGAGAGCCAAATCTGTCCACTTCATTTCTTGCTCTTTCACAGACTCAGTGGTGCCACCGTTGTCTTGCTCTGGTTCAGGGAGCTCATTCTGAGAACAAAACACAGGTACAATGCATTGCACATGTAATACACTTCCTGAAAGCAGCAGGTTGTTATGATTTGTATGCATAGATACAAAAACCTACAAACGAGACCAGAGGGTGCATCTGAACAATAAATATCATACGTACTGATCCACTTAAAAATATTGCTGAGCCTCGTCATAAACAGTATTATTTTCATTTGAATATGGTGCTTAATCTGAAAGGTAAATTGTTTTCCAGGACCCTGGGGCCTTGCTATACAATCAGACTGCACATGCAGTGAGGGAGAATATACAGCAAATGCAAAGTAAGTAAATAACAGTACTATGCATTTATTCCATTGTTTGCAATGTGCTGCTTCTGCTATTGCCAAGAATACAAATACTGCAGACAATTGGTTCTGTAAAATGTTACTTTGCCATGGCAGGTGAGAAGTCCTTCCTGTCTGTATGCTGGACTCAGATATGGCTGTGCTGGATCAACAGCAGAAGCCAGAACCCCCTGCCAGGTGTGTCACAGAGGTGCTCACACCACAGTAAGGGGAAGGAAAGTTTAACAGAGATTTCATTTTCCTTTCTTCTATTATTTGTTCTCTGTCTTGCTGTATTCGTGTAGTCACACTCAGTGTGTGCTATTCCGCCAGATACCATTTGGGCAGGAATTCGGACTTCTAGAGCTCTGGAAATCCCAGCATGAGCTAAATAAAATATTTCAGTTTTGAAAACAGTGAATGATTCAAACCCATTTGAGTTTGCAGAAATGTCTCGAATGAGCACTGGAGCAGATTCTCAGGACAGGCTCAAATACCACTTTCACAGCCATTCTGGTTGCTCCTCTGCAATGTCCTTGAGTAAGTCCCCTGTGAATTCATGCTGGTTTTTCTATGTGATCATAGCCAATCCCATCTCTGGTGTCTTTATATCCACAGTCAGGCCTTTCTTTCTATTGTTAGTTGGTGAGGTTTCCTTCTCTGAGGCTGTCATCTGTATGTGACTGTAAGCCATCACAAGATGGCTCTAAGGGTTTCAGAAACAGTAGTGTCTGGACTCAGGGTGAAGGCAATTGTCAACAAGGAACCTGTTTATGATACTCAGCTTGCTTAATAAAGGTTATCCCAAGCAAAGGAGGGTTTGGGTTCTTTTAACTGAGAATCACGCTTCTGCAAGATGCTTCCCTCAAGCCCAGTTCTTGGCAGGAAAATGTGTGCTGTACATATGGATTTTGAGTTGTGCAGCTGCTCCTCACCCTCTCTGAAAAGCCACTGGTGGCAGGGCTAAAGCTTGAGCCATGTCACAAATTTGGAAATGTCTCTGTGCTGAAAGAAACTAGCACCCCACAATCCCTGTGGCTGCTTTATCTGTGCTAGCAGGGGTAAAGCTCATGTACCAGAGAGAAAAAGGGCAGGGAAAATCCTCAGCTACCTCTATCTTCCCTGGAAATTTTAAAATAGCTAAGGAAAGGTATCAGTGTGGGAGATCTGAAGCTTCAGCTCTGGGCTCTGTGGGATCAGCAGTAGCTTTTCCCCTGATGCCCCTCTCCAGCCTTGCAGCTATACCCTGGATGAAAGCAGAGGTGCCCTGCCTTGGATGCAATATCACAGTAAGAGTCCTGCTGCACCTGCCAGCCCTTCACTGATGTCCCGGACCTGCCAACAGCAACATTGTATCTGGAAAAGACTGGTTTGAAACACGTATGAAAACTTCTCAGCTTCTTTTAATGGCATTGCAGGAAGTGGAAATAAAATGTAACCAAGGCTGGAACTGTCAGTGTGATTCTCCGCTCTCCAAACCAACCGGGAAAGTACGTCAAACACCAGGAACAAGAAAGGGAAGCAGAGAGAAAAGATGATTCTACTTCTCCCTGATCCCAAATCCAGGACAGTGCAATGGGAAGGGCACTCCAGTTCTGAGAAGATTCAGCAACTGGTCAGGGGACGAGGGACAGAAACACCCATGTCCTCATGCACACAGGAATGACTGGCATATAGGGCAAGGAAGGAGTCAGATCCAGGAGCCTTTTGCACAAATTAGCAACATTGTGCCTTTTCTTGGAAGGGGCTGTGATGAACACAGCAACCTTAACTCAGATTGATAAGTAGTAATTCACCTACCAGAGGGATGGCCACATCCTCATAGGGCAATTTATCTTCCCTCCACGCATCATCGATCAGATCCAGGATCCTGCCATCCCTCTGCACCTCGCTGTCCATCGTCACAGCGGGTGAGAGCAGCTATATCTGTGACACAAAGCAGATGCTGTTTTAACAATATCCCCGGCCAAGGAGCTGGAGGCTGGGCTACGGGCTTGCTCCAGTTTTGATGCAACCCATATGAAGTTTAAACTTACAAAGAGAACCTTGATTTCCCTAACCCACTCAGAAAGGGGTTATAACCACAGGAGAACAACTTCATCTGAAAATAACTCTATCAAAGTGAATTGCAGACTGATATGCATTAGAGATGAATATATAAAACCATGTAATGATATTTACATGTGTTTATATCTACTGTCTAACTTTTAGAAGTCTAATTTGAGTGAGTTTTAACATCTAGAGCTGTCCAGAACCCTTTTCTGCCTGCTGGCTTACAGCCCCTGACAAGTGCCGTGCCTTCACATGTCTGGGAGAGTCACAACAAAGGACTTCAGGATACCCAGAACTCTGCCCGAACCTGAAGTCCAGGAAACTGGTGAAACAGAAGCAAAACGAGACCTATCTTTCACCCTCAGCTGCTATAATTACTCCAGAGTGTTTCATTGTACTCTGCCCTCCTTGAAGGGTCACCTGAGGCTCTCGCCCCGGTGTGACCCTGCGAGACAGCAGCAGCAGGCAGCTCGATCCTGAGGGTTCGAGACAGCTGACACTCATTCAAAACCAAGCCAGGCCTGGCACTCGCCGGCTGCCGGAGCCGCGATGTGCGCGGCGATGGGCACGGGCCTGAGCGCATCCCAGCCCCGGCACGATGCGATCCCTGCCTCTCGCGGCCAACACGGCTCCGTGACCGCCCCGTGTCCCTGCGGTGTCCCCGCAGTGTCCCCGCAGTGTCCCCCCGATGTCCCCCGCGTCCCCCTGCCCGCCCTACCCTGCCCATCGCCGGGGCCGGCTCTGCGCAGGCGCCGCCCCAGCGCATGCGCAGCGCTGCGGCCGCGGGGCCGCGCCGTGCCCGCCGCCAGGCTGGGGAAGGCGGAAAGGAGGGGAGAAAGGAAGGAAGGAGGGCAGGCAGGCGGGAAGGAAGGAAACGAACAAGGAAGGAGGGCGGGTCGGCCAGCCAGCCTGAGCCGGGGTGTTGGGCAGCCCGGAGCGGAGCTCGGCCCGGGGCTCAGGGCTGCTCCCCGGGGCGCGGCGCTGGGTAAATAAACACTGTAAGGGTCGGCCTTAGAGCGGGGAGCTCCGGCTGGGAGGAGCTGCAGCACGGCAGGAGTGGGGAATGCCCGCCGAGGGCGGCTGGAGCGGGGAGCGCTGCCTGGGCACGCCGGCCCCGGCCACCTCACAGACTTGAGCTGCACCAGGGCAGGTTGGGTTGGACATCAGGAGGAATTCCTTCACTGAAAGGCTGATCAGATATTGGAAGGGGCGGCGGTGGTGGGATCTCCATCCCTGGAGGTGTTTAAGGAAAGATTGACGCGGCGCTCAGTGCTCTGGGCTAGGTGACAAAGTGGCGAGCGGTCACAGGTTGGACTTGATGGTCTCAGAGGTCTTTTCCAACCTCAGTGATTCTGGGGTTCTTGCTCTGGCGAGGGCTGGTTCGCTCCGGGCTCCTGCCGCAGGTGCCATTCCTGCCGCTGGCAAGTGGAACTCGCCTGTGGTATTGCTTTTGGGAGGTTATTGCTCCTTTTGTGTTCATTGTAAGCCTGGTTCCAGCAACGCTTTAAGATTGCATCTTTCTGTGTTCTTAAATACGAAGTAATCCCAGGCTTTTCTCATGGGCACTATGCTTGAGTCCTTCTGCATATTGCAAAGTTCTCTCCACTTGACGCATGCAATTCTGCCTTGAGCTGGGATGCTAGGCCTTGTTTATTTTTAAATGTGTTGTCTTGTTTTGTTTTTTTTTTTTTTTGCAAATACTTCTGTTTTCTTCACTTTCAGAAGTGACCACCCAGTTCTCCTTGCTTCAGCTGTAGCTAATGGAGGAGATTGTTTCTTCTTGTAGGTCTTTACGCAGGTGTCTGTAATTTGCACGTTGTAACTTGCAAGCATGAGAGGCCAAAATTCAATATTAAGTCACCAAACCTTATGTAGCATAGAACTGGCTAGAGGTGTCTGATTTTAAGGCTTTTCCCCAAAATGTGGCTATGCTGGCAAAGTAAGCAAAGCTGGCAGGCTGTGAGGGTGGTAAGGCAGAGGCACAGAGCAGCTGTGGCTGTCCCATGGAAGTGTCCAAGGCCAGGTTGGACAGGGCTTGGGATAGTGAAAGGTGCCCCTGCCTATGACAGGGATGTGGCATGAGATGGCCTTAAGATCCCTTCCAACCCAAACTGTTCTGGAATTCTATGCTGTCTGTCTCCTCATCTCTCTGCCCACAGAAAATTGATTCTGTGTAGGTGTGATTAGAATGAAAGAGGAGAGCTGCTGCTGTCTAATGTCTGCTGTTGCCACCTGGAGAACTCTGGAATGCTGTCAGCAGCTCAGGGGATCTGCTCATCTGCTCTTCTCAGCACCCTGCCCTCAGCAGAACCACGAAGTTGTTTTGCATACTGATTGAGTTTTGTTAAGCAAAAATAGGACCAAAGACAGACAAAACAGTGTCAGAATAGGGATATGATTTTTTTTATGCTTGTGGTTTAAAACTCAGCTCCCAAGGACAGGTTTTAATCCCTGAATTGTGTTTTAAAGTGTTGTAGGAGTACAATAGATTATTCTTTGGGAAAGAGAGCGAAGTTGAGCCTGCATTTGTGAGAGTCTTTCTTGCTCCTCTTTTGCTGATTGATTAATAATGCCATATTAATCTTTGAGGAAAGATGTTGGAAGGATCCATCTTCAGTACTTGTAAAGTGTACATTTTGGAAACATAAGTTTGTGAGCTCTGGACTATTTAAACCATTTTTGTGTTATCTGCAGTTTCGTGAAGGAGACATTGGAATAAATTTTGGCTTCCTGGCTGTGGTTTCATGGCATCTTTTTATTTCCTATTTTTGGCTTTAGTGTAAACCCTTCTTGCTTTCAGCAAGATGTGAAATTTCTTTGGGTATGAACGTGTTTGTGATTTAAAAGTTGTAATTTTTACACCTGAAGCAATGTAAAGCTGTTCAACTTATTTTCATAATTTAAGGCATAATTTAAAAGGAGTTTATGTTTTCTTGAAATTCCCACAACTGTATAAGCAACCAGTGTGTTCAGAGTGTGGTGGTAAACTGCATGCTCTCTTAATGTAGTTTTTAATAGAGGCCTGGAAAATATTTAATTTATGGATAAATTCTTACTGGTATTTGCTTGTATTTTCTCTCTGAAGTGACAAACTTCCCTGTCAGAGGTGGATCTTGGGCTGGTCCCTTTGAAGCTCAAATATTCCTGTTCCTCTAGAGTCTCAGGACTAGTGCTCTCAGGAGATCTACCAGTCCCTCTGTGTTGAGTTCACCCAAGTGCAGATTTTCATTGCTCCTCTCTGAATTTATTAGATCACATGATTATATCACTGCAATTTGGTAGTGCTGGATGATAGCCTTGGGTACATTTTTCTGGTAGAAAAATCTGTTTTCTTCCATTTGGCTTGTAAGTTCATGAAGGTGCCATTGTTTTCTTCACCTGTAATTGCATGCTCCTTGTATGTTTTTGAACTTATTTGCTTTGTGGGCTTCTGCTTGTCCTGCAGTTGGATGGAGAAGCAGCCTGGTGTGTGCATTGCCATGGGTGACCACTGCTTTCCTGTACTTCCCTGGTACTGAAGCCACCAGGATTCAGTAATGGAGGCGTTGCTGGAAGGAATGCAAAGAAATGGGCAGGGGAGGTATGTATGCAACTGTACACAGCAGTCATTCCAAATGATTCAAGTATTAACCTTGCCTCTTACTCAGAATAAATCCTCTGCTATCAGTGTGCAGTGGCCTTCAGCTGCTGCAGAAGCAAAGTCACTGGGGGAGCTGGCTTTGCATTGATCCCTGCTTATAGTCTTAATTGTCAGAAAACCTCGGCCTTTTTTTTTTTTCAGTTGTTATAAACTCTTCTTACTGTCCAACATCAGGAGCAGTAAATGGAGTTGTGAATAAATATTTATTTTGTAACAGCCTCGAAAGGTTAATGAGATGTGACTTTGTTATCTGATTTCACTGAAAACATCTGATTATTTCCTGCTTGTGTTGAAACTGCAGAGTCCCACACAGCTCTGAGGAATCCTTAATGCTCTGTCTGAGGTGAGAGTCTCTAGACTTTTCAATCCCCGAGAGAGACTGTAGTGACAATAACAGAACAAAATGTTTTATGTGTTAAACAACCGTGAAGCAAAAGTCACTGATGCCATTTTCCTAGTCATCCTTGTGAATGTGACACAAATTTATTTGATACTGTATCTTCTTCAGAGAGCTGGTTGCAGAAATCAAGTTTAGACTTTGCTACATATTAGCAGATGCTGTGAAGGAAATGTTCCTGCTCTGCATAATAGCTGCTAATTTTTGGTTAACTCACAGGACAGGGTGAACTTCAAATGTGACTGATTTTGGCTCCTTTAAGAAGTATTTCTTTTCCTATAGAAAAAGTGCCAAGTAGTGAAGTGTGCATATGCCCTGGGAGAACAGAGAAATTTCCATCCCTTAACCTATTGATTTCCATTTCTTTTCAGTTCTTCCCTTTGACAGGCAAATTAAAGGGGTAGAGATCATTATGGAGTTCGACACCCTCTAGGGCTGTGTCTGGCAAATCTTAATATTGTCCCTGTCTTGGCAGCTGCGAAGTTTTAGAGGAGTTACTTGAATTGGCTTCAATAATTACTGCACCAAATTAGAAATCTGGGCATCGCTAGGGAGCTTGTGCTCCCCGATGGATTGCGAGGGTTTGATTCTTCATTATCATGTTGTCATCCAGCCCCCTCTGCTCCAGGGTTTGTCTGCATTTGTGATAAACTTCTGTTTTTGGGAGCTCATAGCTTGGCTGTAAGATTCCTCTGGTGACTGAAACCTGCTATAAAATGCCACCGCCTGGAGAGCAGTTAAGGCAATACAAAATATGAATTAAACACTCTTTGGTTTACTTACATAATGCCTGGTACCCAAGGCAAAAGGCTGAATGCCCAAGTGTGAAGTGATGTGGTTTAGTGGGCATGGATGGTATTGGGTAAAAGGTTGGACTTGATGAACTTGGAGATCTTTTCTGACCTTAATGGTTCTGTGATTCTATTTCTGTGCGAGCTGGTTTGAAGAGAGTTCAAAGCACTGCGTGTGCAGAGTTGGTGCCTTGGTGGCAGTCAGTGTGTTCTGCTGCCTTTGTTGGTGTGGGACACGGGATGTGTTGGGTGGGACCTCCTTTGTAACTCAGGCTCTCTCCCCTCCAGCGGTGGGTTCTTGACCTCCTGTGAGGCCGAGCTGCAGGAGCTGATGAAGCAGATTGACATCATGGTGGCTCACAAGAAATCCGAATGGGAAGGGCAGACACAGGCTTTGGAAGCTTGTCTGAGTGCCCGTGAGCAGGAACTTTCCTCTGCCAAGGCAGCTCTGCAGGAAAAACAAAAGGAGGTACCTTTGTTTCACACAATTTTTTGGTTGGAGTCAGGAAGTCAGGAATGGAATTTTTAAAGGACCTGTTGAAACAAGGTGTCTGGTTCATAATTCAATCCAAGTCAAGTGATCCTCTCCCCTAGGTTGGTGGAAGTCCACATATTGAACTGTTAAAGTTATTAGAACACAGAGACACTGGTTATAGCTACAGCAGTAATGGACAGCCCAGCAACCTGCAGGCATTGGTAGAAAAAACTCCTTTCCTACTATGTAAACTGACCAAGAAAACGATTTCCTGCCCTGAGCTACACCAAGATATTGCTGGGAAACTCTCCATGGGCTGTTTTGCAGAGCTCTGGCTTTGTGGTCTTTAAATAAAAGCCTGAGGGAAGTGCAAAAAATTTCTGTATTGGTGAAAAATTTTAGTAATTGAGGCTTTTATGCAGGATGTGGACCATAAGATGTAGTTGAGCCACAGGATTTTCATTTGCAAGAACTGTGATTTTATAATACAGGTTATTGTTATTATCAGTTATTTTTTCTCAAGACACTTGAAATGTTTCTTACCACCAAAAGCAAACATGGATTTCAAACTGAACTGTAAAGTATGTTTGAAGTCATTGCTGGAGTGTATTCATGCTTTTGGTTTAGTCATATGAATTTTCTGTGGATTTTCTTTTAATTTTAATTTGATGGCTTGTAACCACTCAGGTTGTGGATGGGAAGAAGATGGGAGAAAAAAAAGGGAGAAGAATGAGTCACAGGAGCAGTTGAATCAGTGTCAGAGAAGTCTTTTCTGTGCACTTCAAAACCCCATTTCTTTCTTTCTCCTTCCTATTAGGAATCTCCTTTGTCTGAGCCTAGTTAGATAGTGACATGGCCAGCTTTTCTTTTGGAAGATAGCTTGAAATCATAATGCATATTTGTGAAGATTTTGATGAAAATACTGTATAGAAACAGACTTTTGGCACAAGCCACATATGTCAGCTTTGTCCCCAAAAGTGAAATCCGGAAACTGGCTCAAAACAAGAGGCCACAACAGAAACAGTTGTGGCCCCAGCCTAGCAAAGATTTAGGCACTGCCTCCATCTATTCCATAATGAAGGATCCTACTGAAATGTTCATGTGTCTACTGGCAATAAAGCCTACTTCTGTTGTATTTATTTGCTTTTTATCCCTTTGTTCAGGTTGGCATGTTGCGTCGCCAGGTCGAAGATGTGGAAAAATCCAAGCAGGACATGGTCAGAGAGTATGAACAACAGCTGAAGAAATTCCAGGAGGAGGTGAGTTGCAAAAGGAGAAGCTTGGTTTCTAGTTCCCAGTTGGTGATGGATCAATTACTTTGTGTCTTTGTTTTTGTTTCAATACTGTGGTTCCCCACTTTGTTAGTGTTTGTGTGCTTACCAAAAAAAGAGCATAGAGCTCTTTTTGATAAGATAGATAAAGTGATGTTTTTATGGCTCACTTGGTCTGTTTTTTGTGGTTTGGAGGAACTTGGTGACAGACAGAGAACTGTTGGAGTAGAAATGTTTTCATATGTTGGACATCTGCAGAAGTTTACTGCTAGAATGTTCTGTGTTTGCCCATCTCAGTCACCACAGTGCTGGTTCTGGAGGTGCCACGGGTACAGCAGCAGCAGTTTGTTCTTTCAGCATTTCTGAAATCATAAAGGGTGGAGATGTAACTGGCCTGGCTTGTGTAAAATTAGGAAATAACAGTGATATGTGGTCTCATCTTTTTTCCTCTGTTAATAGTGGTGATTTAGTAGGGATTTTGTACTCTCAAGGAATATTAGTATTAATACTCTTCATAAAAAAACAAGTGTACATAGAAAATGCTGTTTGACAATAATATCAGAGCTTTCATCTCAAAGCCTCTTGCTCAATGTGAGATGATAGCTGTCCTGCAGGTGGTGTGACAGCATTCCAGGTTTATGCCTGAACTCTTTGCCTGTCTCCACTTGCCAGTAGCAGGGAGTGAACTGGCAGGAGCAGGTCATAGAGCACTGACCTGTTTTCTCTGGAAGTCTGGGCCTAGTTCCTGCTCACTGTAAGCTATAAGTGAAATTAATTTGGTAATCTGTGCTCTGATGACAGAAGGCATCTTTTCTCATTTAAAAACACCTCACTATTCCATATGAATAACAGTATTCTTTTGCTGGGTGTTCTCACTGGAATTGTGGATAAGCTGCAAAGCAAAGCTGAGGTACATTGGCAGATCAGCCTAAATTGCTAAGGCTGAAATACAGCCTGTGTGCTGTGGCCTGAATTGCAGTTTGTGGGTATTTTACCTACACAGTATTAATGCTGATGACATTGAGTTCCAATATTCCTCAGTCTTTTGTTCTTAGTAGTGTTTGGGGAAATTATTTCTGTCCCTGTTTACCACCATTTCCAGTGCAATTACAGGTACAGTGTCTAACTTACTGAGACTGTTGAAAGAATAAACCTCTTATCTCTTGATATATCTGGCAAAAGATGTTGGTGTTAACTCTAAGCCTGAACATCTGTCTGTGTACTGAATGCATCAGGTTTTGAATCAGATATTTTTTCTTCTCATGGTCCTTCTGTTCATCCATGGGCTTAGCTTTTCCATTGGTAAAAGGGCAGTGATGGCTTCTCAAATTCATGTGGCTATTTGGAAACCTTTTATTTAATAGTTGAGTAGGGGGAGCTCAGCATATGAAAAATTCTCTGCAAGTTGCAAGTGATTATTTGCACGGAGGGTCATTTAAATGTCAAGAGTTTTTTCCTCATTCCTTCTTCTGATACAACTTCAGCATCCTAGCAGCAGGCGTAGGAGTGATATTTTCTGTTGGCATTCTCCACTCATTGTGAAATACACAGTGTATCTAAGCAGAAAATGACAGATGAAGTGGTGTTGTTATTATGGGTAATGACAATTCTCAAACCTTCCTTCTCCCAATAAGCAGGAGAGTTCCAGTTCCCACCTGAGCTGCACAAGTGTATTCTGATCACACAGGAATTACCTGTGTGTAGTGTGGTGGGTGTGCTCCTGTGGGTGAGCAGATCAGCCACAGGCACTGCTGGCTTTTCCTGGGGCTGGGAACTACCTGTAAGGGAGGGGGATGCTGTGCTCTTGCTGCATTGACAGCTGCGTGTAAACCTCCATCTTATCAATATTTCAGTCATGCTTTAATTATGGTAAGACAGAGCTTTAATTAAAGCTGCTGATGTCATGACTTCAGTGGCATCTTGCTACTCTCATACAACTCATGTGTTTTGCAGTGCTGTTGGTATAAAAGACTCATTATCCAAATGGAAGCCTTCACTTGGGAGCTGTGTGGCCTTGATGAGGGCATTGTTTGTGTGAACCACTTTGTGTTTGTTCTTTCAAAAGGCTGTGTAATTCTTGCCTTGGGGCCTTGAGCAAAGCTCTCTCTTTCACTGTATCCTGCAGTTGTCCCGTTTGAGGAGGAGCTATGAGAAGCTGCAGAAGAGAAAAACAAGAAACAGAGGAGAAGCTAACAGGGGCCAAGAGGAGGACAAGTTTGAATTGAGCCGACTGACCAGAAAGCTGGAGGTATGTGGTGAAAAAGCAAGTGCTGAGCAGCTTGTATGTATTAACTGACTTACTGGGCTTCACTGATGATGAACAGTCCACTAGGAAGTGGATTATGAGTCCTGCTTTAAGGAGCACTGCCCATCCACTCTCCAGGTGCAGCTCTTCTCAACTGTGTGTGCAATAAAGGCAGTTTTGTGTGTTGGGGCCTCTGGCTGCACAGCATAAACCTTAATGCTGTTCTTACCCTTAGACTAAATAATAGGTAGAAGGTGCTGGAAGAGTAACTAATTATGTGAATGGAATGAATTCCAGTGTGAGGAGGTTGTATTCTCACTTCTTTGAGGAGGAGGGAGCTACATGTCAAACTTCTTCTCCACCCTGTCTCATCTTCTAATCTTTCTGCTCTGCTGAGCTCAACCCCACTCAGTTTTCTCCTCCTGAAAGATGTGGTAGCAACACACATCTGACTGATGTAGTGCCCAATTTCTGGAGCAGAGATTAGCAGTCAAATTCTGTATTTAATTCTTGTCATCTTGCTGATTTCAATAGCAGCATGTTTTGGAAGCTAAATCCAGTCTGAATCGTTAAACCCCTGACAGCAAACCCATGAAACCAGCCATGAATGTGTTGGCACTTAACATTTGTGAGCAGCTTTACCTCGGGAGGGGAAGGAATGTGGTGAACACGGTGTGTGGGGGCTCTGCACTGCTGAGCTGCTGCATCAGGTGACTGGCTAATGGTTTCCCTGCTGGGGAAAAGGTGTGAGGATATGGTGGGGAGAGAAGGCAAACATGGATGTGAGCTGGAGGGGGATGTACTGCTCCAAGCCACCCCTGCTGTCCTTGCAGGAATTCCGTCAAAAATCACTTGACTGGGAGAAGCAGCGCCTGCAGTACCAGCAGCAGGTGGCATCGCTGGAGGCGCAGCGCAAGGCTCTGGCAGAGCACTCCGAGCTCGTGCAGGTACAATTAACGTGTGCTAAAAGTTTCTGCTTTGTTTGTGGGAGGGAGGGAGAGGCTGGTGAAATCTCTCAGGCTGCCATCCAGTTCAGATTGCCATTGAAGTGAAACCAGCACACTTTTAATGTTCTGGCGGAATAAGGTTTGCTTGTATGAGTGCTGTATGGAAAAAAGATCTGGAGTCTCATTAGAGATTAGATCAACCTTGTGCAGCTCTCCCTGCCATCCCTCTGCTTAGCAGAGAAGACAGTAGGATGCAGGTTTCCCTGGGAGGCACAGACCACAGCATATGACACTATAAAATATGTTTCATCATGTTATCTAGTTGAAAGCAGTGTACTTGCCAGCAGTTACATATGTACCTTGTGGGTCCAGCTCAGAGGGTACTGTTGGGAAACAGTCTTCCCTTACAACAGAGACTTCCATAAAATACTGAAGCAACAGCGATTTTCAGCCCCCCATCCCTTTTTTTAGGTCTTTCAAAGGCAAAAAGTAGTGGGGCTGCTGTTCTGCAAAGCTGATGGCTCAGTGAATTAGTGGTGCTGCAGCAGAGCGAGATGAATTGACCTAGAGCACAGCTGTGAAGTCACACAGACACAATCACAGCAGACACTGATAAGAAGCTCTTGCTGGGGACTTTGCACTTAATGGGCTCCTGAGTTGCTCTTGAGTGGAAGCTCCTGCAAGGAGGGAGACTGTGATGACAGGATTGAAGGGGCCCCTCTGACAGGGGCTTTGTGAGAGGCTGACACCAGGAGATCTACAAATGCAGAGAGAGTCCTTGAGCAGAAGGTCTTGCTGCTCTGCTGTCTGTGTGTCGTTGATAGCTCAATTGTTTGGGAACAGATGTGTCCTTGGAGCTCAGGCTGGGACACTGGGGCACAGAGGATCTTGTCTTACTGTGCAGCAGAAAACCAGGAGGTTGGGGAGGTTTTACTGAAGCGATGTAGGTGCCTGAGGTGCACAGGTACTGTGAACAGACTGCCTGAATCCTCAATTACCTTGAAAACCCCAGCATGGAAGTGCTAATTTTTTTGCCTTGAATATTTCTGTACATTTTATGTGCTTAGTTGTCTTTCTGGCACAAGGTCGAGCTGAGATCCATGACCATGGAGTACTTCCCCCCTCTCTCCTTTCATCTGGCTTCCCCTCATCTCTTCCAGAGCAGCTTAGAGAAGCCTGGAATTCTTCCACAGTACAGACCATGTTCTGCAACACCTGCAGCCTTTAAAGTCAGCTTTTCCTAAAATCCTGGAATTGTCTGCTGGCCTGGGTGTTGTGTGGCTGGAAATAAGAGCTTAAATGTTTTCTTAATGCAGAAATAAATATTCAGGCAGTCTGATGTTCTGGCTTCTTGGGTGAAGAAAAGCTGTGCTTTAAACTCTCAGCCNGTGATGTGGTTTAGTGGGCATGGATGGTATTGGGTAAAAGGTTGGACTTGATGAACTTGGAGATCTTTTCTGACCTTAATGGTTCTGTGATTCTATTTCTGTGCGAGCTGGTTTGAAGAGAGTTCAAAGCACTGCGTGTGCAGAGTTGGTGCCTTGGTGGCAGTCAGTGTGTTCTGCTGCCTTTGTTGGTGTGGGACACGGGATGTGTTGGGTGGGACCTCCTTTGTAACTCAGGCTCTCTCCCCTCCAGCGGTGGGTTCTTGACCTCCTGTGAGGCCGAGCTGCAGGAGCTGATGAAGCAGATTGACATCATGGTGGCTCACAAGAAATCCGAATGGGAAGGGCAGACACAGGCTTTGGAAGCTTGTCTGAGTGCCCGTGAGCAGGAACTTTCCTCTGCCAAGGCAGCTCTGCAGGAAAAACAAAAGGAGGTACCTTTGTTTCACACAATTTTTTGGTTGGAGTCAGGAAGTCAGGAATGGAATTTTTAAAGGACCTGTTGAAACAAGGTGTCTGGTTCATAATTCAATCCAAGTCAAGTGATCCTCTCCCCTAGGTTGGTGGAAGTCCACATATTGAACTGTTAAAGTTATTAGAACACAGAGACACTGGTTATAGCTACAGCAGTAATGGACAGCCCAGCAACCTGCAGGCATTGGTAGAAAAAACTCCTTTCCTACTATGTAAACTGACCAAGAAAACGATTTCCTGCCCTGAGCTACACCAAGATATTGCTGGGAAACTCTCCATGGGCTGTTTTGCAGAGCTCTGGCTTTGTGGTCTTTAAATAAAAGCCTGAGGGAAGTGCAAAAAATTTCTGTATTGGTGAAAAATTTTAGTAATTGAGGCTTTTATGCAGGATGTGGACCATAAGATGTAGTTGAGCCACAGGATTTTCATTTGCAAGAACTGTGATTTTATAATACAGGTTATTGTTATTATCAGTTATTTTTTCTCAAGACACTTGAAATGTTTCTTACCACCAAAAGCAAACATGGATTTCAAACTGAACTGTAAAGTATGTTTGAAGTCATTGCTGGAGTGTATTCATGCTTTTGGTTTAGTCATATGAATTTTCTGTGGATTTTCTTTTAATTTTAATTTGATGGCTTGTAACCACTCAGGTTGTGGATGGGAAGAAGATGGGAGAAAAAAAAGGGAGAAGAATGAGTCACAGGAGCAGTTGAATCAGTGTCAGAGAAGTCTTTTCTGTGCACTTCAAAACCCCATTTCTTTCTTTCTCCTTCCTATTAGGAATCTCCTTTGTCTGAGCCTAGTTAGATAGTGACATGGCCAGCTTTTCTTTTGGAAGATAGCTTGAAATCATAATGCATATTTGTGAAGATTTTGATGAAAATACTGTATAGAAACAGACTTTTGGCACAAGCCACATATGTCAGCTTTGTCCCCAAAAGTGAAATCCGGAAACTGGCTCAAAACAAGAGGCCACAACAGAAACAGTTGTGGCCCCAGCCTAGCAAAGATTTAGGCACTGCCTCCATCTATTCCATAATGAAGGATCCTACTGAAATGTTCATGTGTCTACTGGCAATAAAGCCTACTTCTGTTGTATTTATTTGCTTTTTATCCCTTTGTTCAGGTTGGCATGTTGCGTCGCCAGGTCGAAGATGTGGAAAAATCCAAGCAGGACATGGTCAGAGAGTATGAACAACAGCTGAAGAAATTCCAGGAGGAGGTGAGTTGCAAAAGGAGAAGCTTGGTTTCTAGTTCCCAGTTGGTGATGGATCAATTACTTTGTGTCTTTGTTTTTGTTTCAATACTGTGGTTCCCCACTTTGTTAGTGTTTGTGTGCTTACCAAAAAAAGAGCATAGAGCTCTTTTTGATAAGATAGATAAAGTGATGTTTTTATGGCTCACTTGGTCTGTTTTTTGTGGTTTGGAGGAACTTGGTGACAGACAGAGAACTGTTGGAGTAGAAATGTTTTCATATGTTGGACATCTGCAGAAGTTTACTGCTAGAATGTTCTGTGTTTGCCCATCTCAGTCACCACAGTGCTGGTTCTGGAGGTGCCACGGGTACAGCAGCAGCAGTTTGTTCTTTCAGCATTTCTGAAATCATAAAGGGTGGAGATGTAACTGGCCTGGCTTGTGTAAAATTAGGAAATAACAGTGATATGTGGTCTCATCTTTTTTCCTCTGTTAATAGTGGTGATTTAGTAGGGATTTTGTACTCTCAAGGAATATTAGTATTAATACTCTTCATAAAAAAACAAGTGTACATAGAAAATGCTGTTTGACAATAATATCAGAGCTTTCATCTCAAAGCCTCTTGCTCAATGTGAGATGATAGCTGTCCTGCAGGTGGTGTGACAGCATTCCAGGTTTATGCCCGAACTCTTTGCCTGTCTCCACTTGCCAGTAGCAGGGAGTGAACTGGCAGGAGCAGGTCATAGAGCACTGACTTGTTTTCTCTGGAAGTCTGGGCCTAGTTCCTGCTCACTGTAAGCTATAAGTGAAATTAATTTGGTAATCTGTGCTCTGATGACAGAAGGCATCTTTTCTCATTTAAAAACACCTCACTATTCCATATGAATAACAGTATTCTTTTGCTGGGTGTTCTCACTGGAATTGTGGATAAGCTGCAAAGCAAAGCTGAGGTACATTGGCAGATCAGCCTAAATTGCTAAGGCTGAAATACAGCCTGTGTGCTGTGGCCTGAATTGCAGTTTGTGGGTATTTTACCTACACAGTATTAATGCTGATGACATTGAGTTCCAATATTCCTCAGTCTTTTGTTCTTAGTAGTGTTTGGGGAAATTATTTCTGTCCCTGTTTACCACCATTTCCAGTGCAATTACAGGTACAGTGTCTAACTTACTGAGACTGTTGAAAGAATAAACCTCTTATCTCTTGATATATCTGGCAAAAGATGTTGGTGTTAACTCTAAGCCTGAACATCTGTCTGTGTACTGAATGCATCAGGTTTTGAATCAGATATTTTTTCTTCTCATGGTCCTTCTGTTCATCCATGGGCTTAGCTTTTCCATTGGTAAAAGGGCAGTGATGGCTTCTCAAATTCATGTGGCTATTTGGAAACCTTTTATTTAATAGTTGAGTAGGGGGAGCTCAGCATATGAAAAATTCTCTGCAAGTTGCAAGTGATTATTTGCACGGAGGGTCATTTAAATGTCAAGAGTTTTTTCCTCATTCCTTCTTCTGATACAACTTCAGCATCCTAGCAGCAGGCGTAGGAGTGATATTTTCTGTTGGCATTCTCCACTCATTGTGAAATACACAGTGTATCTAAGCAGAAAATGACAGATGAAGTGGTGTTGTTATTATGGGTAATGACAATTCTCAAACCTTCCTTCTCCCAATAAGCAGGAGAGTTCCAGTTCCCACCTGAGCTGCACAAGTGTATTCTGATCACACAGGAATTACCTGTGTGTAGTGTGGTGGGTATGCTCCTGTGGGTGAGCAGATCAGCCACAGGCACTGCTGGCTTTTCCTGGGGCTGGGAACTACCTGTAAGGGAGGGGGATGCTGTGCTCTTGCTGCATTGACAGCTGCATGTAAACCTCCATCTTATCAATATTTCAGTCATGCTTTAATTATGGTAAGACAGAGCTTTAATTAAAGCTGCTGATGTCATGACTTCAGTGGCATCTTGCTACTCTCATACAACTCGTGTTTTGCAGTGCTGTTGGTATAAAAGACTCATTATCCAAATGGAAGCCTTCACTTGGGAGCTGTGTGGCCTTGATGAGGGCATTGTTTGTGTGAACCACTTTGTGTTTGTTCTTTCAAAAGGCTGTGTAATTCTTGCCTTGGGGCCTTGAGCAAAGCTCTCTCTTTCACTGTATCCTGCAGTTGTCCCGTTTGAGGAGGAGCTATGAGAAGCTGCAGAAGAGAAAAACAAGAAACAGAGGAGAAGCTAACAGGGGCCAAGAGGAGGACAAGTTTGAATTGAGCCGACTGACCAGAAAGCTGGAGGTATGTGGTGAAAAAGCAAGTGCTGAGCAGTTTGTATGTATTAACTGACTTACTGGGCTTCACTGATGATGAACAGTCCACTAGGAAGTGGATTATGAGTCCTGCTTTAAGGAGCACTGCCCATCCACTCTCCAGGTGCAGCTCTTCTCAACTGTGTGTGCAATAAAGGCAGTTTTGTGTGTTGGGGCCTCTGGCTGCACAGCATAAACCTTAATGCTGTTCTTACCCTTAGACTAAATAATAGGTAGAAGGTGCTGGAAGAGTAACTAATTATGTGAATGGAATGAATTCCAGTGTGAGGAGGTTGTATTCTCACTTCTTTGAGGAGGAGGGAGCTACATGTCAAACTTCTTCTCCACCCTGTCTCATCTTCTAATCTTTCTGCTCTGCTGAGCTCAACCCCACTCAGTTTTCTCCTCCTGAAAGATGTGGTAGCAACACACATCTGACTGATGTAGTGCCCAATTTCTGGAGCAGAGATTAGCAGTCAAATTCTGTATTTAATTCTTGTCATCTTGCTGATTTCAATAGCAGCATGTTTTGGAAGCTAAATCCAGTCTGAATCGTTAAACCCCTGACAGCAAACCCATGAAACCAGCCATGAATGTGTTGGCACTTAACATTTGTGAGCAGCTTTACCTCGGGAGGGGAAGGAATGTGGTGAACACGGTGTGTGGGGGCTCTGCACTGCTGAGCTGCTGCATCAGGTGACTGGCTAATGGTTTCCCTGCTGGGGAAAAGGTGTGAGGATATGGTGGGGAGAGAAGGCAAACATGGATGTGAGCTGGAGGGGGATGTACTGCTCCAAGCCACCCCTGCTGTCCTTGCAGGAATTCCGTCAAAAATCACTTGACTGGGAGAAGCAGCGCCTGCAGTACCAGCAGCAGGTGGCATCGCTGGAGGCGCAGCGCAAGGCTCTGGCAGAGCACTCCGAGCTCGTGCAGGTACAATTAACGTGTGCTAAAAGTTTCTGCTTTGTTTGTGGGAGGGAGGGAGAGGCTGGTGAAATCTCTCAGGCTGCCATGCAGTTCAGATTGCCATTGAAGTGAAACCAGCACACTTTTAATGTTCTGGCGGAATAAGGTTTGCTTGTATGAGTGCTGTATGGAAAAAAGATCTGGAGTCTCATTAGAGATTAGATCAACCTTGTGCAGCTCTCCCTGCCATCCCTCTGCTTAGCAGAGAAGACAGTAGGATGCAGGTTTCCCTGGGAGGCACAGACCACAGCATATGACACTATAAAATATGTTTCATCATGTTATCTAGTTGAAAGCAGTGTACTTGCCAGCAGTTACATATGTACCTTGTGGGTCCAGCTCAGAGGGTACTGTTGGGAAACAGTCTTCCCTTACAACAGAGACTTCCATAAAATACTGAAGCAACAGCGATTTTCAGCCCCCCATCCCTTTTTTTAGGTCTTTCAAAGGCAAAAAGTAGTGGGGCTGCTGTTCTGCAAAGCTGATGGCTCAGTGAATTAGTGGTGCTGCAGCAGAGCGAGATGAATTGACCTAGAGCACAGCTGTGAAGTCACACAGACACAATCACAGCAGACACTGATAAGAAGCTCTTGCTGGGGACTTTGCACTTAATGGGCTCCTGAGTTGCTCTTGAGTGGAAGCTCCTGCAAGGAGGGAGACTGTGATGACAGGATTGAAGGGGCCCCTCTGACAGGGGCTTTGTGAGAGGCTGACACCAGGAGATCTACAAATGCAGAGAGAGTCCTTGAGCAGAAGGTCTTGCTGCTCTGCTGTCTGTGTGTCGTTGATAGCTCAATTGTTTGGGAACAGATGTGTCCTTGGAGCTCAGGCTGGGACACTGGGGCACAGAGGATCTTGTCTTACTGTGCAGCAGAAAACCAGGAGGTTGGGGAGGTTTTCCTGAAGCGATGTAGGTGCCTGAGGTGCACAGGTACTGTGAACAGACTGCCTGAATCCTCAATTACCTTGAAAACCCCAGCATGGAAGTGCTAATTTTTTTGCCTTGAATATTTCTGTACATTTTATGTGCTTAGTTGTATTTCTGGCACAAGGTCGAGCTGAGATCCATGACCATGGAGTACTTCCCCCCTCTCTCCTTTCATCTGGCTTCCCCTCATCTCTTCCAGAGCAGCTTAGAGAAGCCTGGAATTCTTCCACAGTACAGACCATGTTCTGCAACACCTGCAGCCTTTAAAGTCAGCTTTTCCTAAAATCCTGGAATTGTCTGCTGGCCTGGGTGTTGTGTGGCTGGAAATAAGAGACAGCTTAAATGTTTTCTTAATGCAGAAATAAATATTCAGGCAGTCTGATGTTCTGGCTTCTTGGGTGAAGAAAAGCTGTGCTTTAAACTCTCAGCCCTCTTGATTACCTTTTCTGTCATGACTATTTAAATAATAATAAAAGGCTGTAATCAAAACTATACTATAGCCTTGCAAATGAGCAGTTCTTACAGTTTGTGTAAATCAAGGCACGTGGTGATTCTGAAGCTGGCAGGCATTGCTACTCTTTGAAACTGGGAGTATAGGACTGCTCAAATATTTTGTTTCAGCCTTTAAAAATTCAAAGATTGTACACAAAAAGGAACTGTATGAAGTGGATGTTCCTAGAAGTTTATGTGAGAGCTGGCTTGTTAAATTTCACCAGCTAGCTGTGTGGAAAGAAATGCTATGAAATAAAGTATTGTGCCTATAAATTATAGAGCAGGTATTGTCTGCTACTCATACATTCCTTGTAACTTTTTTGTCTGCCGTTAAAACACTGAAAAATTCAAAGTGAGCATTCCCCCAGGCTGCTGGAACCAAGTACTTACTGCACAGAGCAAAGCAAATTGGCTGTAACACCTGGTTTATTTTAGGGCTGTTTGGTTGTTGTGGTTTTTTAATTGTGCACCCAGAGCTGCTTTCTGTCCTGGTGTGGAATTAATGGTTGAGTAATCTCTGCCCTATTTGGTTTACCTGCAGAATTTCTAACCTGCAGCCATTAGTCCTGGTCTAGCCTTGGGCTCATGAGCAAAAAATAGCGGGAGGCTTTATTCTTAGACAAATCGTACTGGGCCAGCTGGAGTGGTTTGAGATCCTAATTTTCCAGATTCTGTTTGAACTGCCTTTGGAATCAAAGGGCCCCTTCTTTTTTTTTTTATTTTTTAATTTTGTTTTTTACTTATTCTGTTTGCCTTTGGAAGTTTTATCCATCATGCAACCCTGGAACAATACTCCCCCTAATTCCCTGGAAGGTATTGTTGCTTACTCTGAGAATGTGGCTCATTACACCAAGAAATCAGTAGCTGTGTTGAATTTAGCTTTGGTACAACTTAGTGTTTTTGCAATGTGGCTTTAATGCAGATGATTGCTGTTGGCAGACCCAGCTGGCCAATCGGAAGCAGATCCTGGACTCGGTGGAGCTGGCGAGCCGCTCGGAAATCCAGCACTTGACCAGCAGGCTGGAGAGGGCCAATGACACTATCTGTGCCAACGAGCTGGAGGTGGAGAGGCTCAGCATGAGGGTGGATGACCTGAGTGAGGACAACCGCATCATTCTGGAGGATCAGCAGAGAGTTCAAGAAGAATTAAGGCAGTCCAAGAAAATGTTAGAGGTCAGTGGAGGAATTCTTAAGATATGGGGTCTAAAGCAGTGCTGGTGAGAGGTGGTGGGAAGACTTTTCATCCTAGAGTTTGTCTCTTTCTAGAGCCTTTGTAAAGTTCCTGATTGGCATCAAAATTGACTTTGTAGCCATGTACTGCTCTGCAGTATTTCCAAGGGTCCTAAAAAGTCTGATCAACCTTTCATCGGATTGCAACAAACTGGTTTGGTCCATTTTACAGCAGTCATTCCTTCTGTCTCCTGTGCAGGTGCTGCAGGATGAGAAGATGGAACTGAAAGCCACCTTGCAGTCTCAAGAAGATTTCATTGGCAGCTCCAAGCTGCACCAGGAGCAGTTAGAGAAAGAGCTGGCCAGGGTGACTGAAACTCTTCACACAAAAGACTGCCTCATCAGGTAGCATCTGTGCCTTGCTGGTACTTTGGCTCTTCAGTCTAGATCTGTGTTCAAGGTTGTCTCACTAAGGATAGTAGCAGAATTTTCATGCAGCTGGATCTGTATTTTATTTGACATAGTGCACTGCAGTTTCTCACAAGTGCTGTGCTGCCTTACAGCATTTTTCCATTTGCATTGCTTTTAAAATTAGCAGATAATTAGCGAAGAGCATGGAAGGAATCCACTTTCCTCAGCTGGGTTTCTGGAGGCATTGCAGGGCTTTTGAGTGTGTTTCTCCCAGGTATTTTCCACCAAGTGCTGGAGGCCTTTCAGGGCTTGATAATGTGCTTATTAACCTAGGTGAAAGTTTTCACTGGTTGGGGCTTGGTGAGGTAACTACATCTGTAACAAAATCATCTTGGCCTTCCCCTTCTGCCCTGGCAATGTACAGAGGCTGTTGGGTCCTGGTGGCTGTGTCAGGAGGTTTGGGTGTTGGTCACCTATTAGTCTCTAGCAGGGAGGCCAACGTCAAAATAAAATGTAGCAGCCTTAACTCGAGCAGGGGCTGTCATCCTGCTGTTGTGTTTGTTGTGTTGCTTGCTCACACTGCACATAGCAGTCACCTCATTTTAGGTGTTGTGTATTTTTCAGAGAATTCCAAGAAGACAATAGTTATGTTCCCTGTACCAGTGAACTCAGACATGATGTTTCTGTGCTGAGATTAAAGTTGCTGTTTCTGTGCAGGGCCTTGGAGGAGCGCTTGCAAGGGAAGCTGTTGTCCTCTGCAGGGCTGGAGCTGCAGCAGGTGCTGCTGCAGCTGGATGTTGCCCAGAAGAAGGAACAGCACTTGCAGTCAGAGGTGACTCGTCTTGAGAACAGGTAGCCCACTGCTCCCTCCCTCTGGAAGTGCAATTAGTCTTGGATAATAATACAGCACCTAATTGTGTTCATCAAGTTAACCAGTGATTTTTGTAGTCTTGTTTTAAATATCAAAGGGCTAAAGAAATCAAGTGCTATTCATTCTGCAATGTAATAGTGACTGCTTTGGTAATTGGTTGGCTGCCTTTCACTGCACACAGTGGGTGCTCAGTGTTCCAACTTGCTTGGGTTGAGCACCTTCACTCATAACAGGCTAAGGAGTCTTTGTTAAGCAGCTGGTAAGAACCAGATCCAGACCTTCCTGTGAAGTGAGGATTATAAATCTGTCCAGAGAGATTGTGGATTCCCCATCTCTAGAGGTGTACAAGTCCAGGCTGGATGGGGGTTAAGGTGACCTGGTCTAGTTGAAAGTGTCCCTGCCCATGGCAGGGGGTGGAACGAGTTGAGCTTTAGGGTCCCTCTCAGCCCAAAGCATTTTGTGATTCTGTGATTCCTCTCCAAGCTTGTGGTTTTCAGACTTGTGTTTACATAGAAATTTTGTAATCTTAGTTTGTAAAGAAACAAGCAAGAAACGGTTGTTATCTGTTAGATGAGCTTCCTGATCTCTTGTGAAGTGACTCTGGAAAACAAACCCAAAGGATTGGTAAGGAACTTGTAGGCTGAGTTCAGTTTCTGTTGCAATGGACATAAAGAATACCTGGAAGATCAAAGTGTCTCTGACCATTTCCTCCTCCTTGGTTTATTCTAATCTATACTTTTGCATTTGGCACCCAGCCTGGTGTCTTCAAATGCCAGGTGTGTGCAGCTGAGTGAGGAGCTGGATGAGAATATCAAAGAGCTGCAGTCCCTGGAAGAAGACCAGACTGAGTCAAGGGCAGAGATTAAAAAGGTAACGTGGCTGTGTTCCCGGGGAGTGGGATGGCACTGGTGGAGTGAGCTGATCCCTGTGTGCCACGTGCCAAGGCAGGGCTGCTGTGCAGGCAGGGATCTGCTGGAGGTAAGGAGCACACCTGGCAGAGGAAGGGTTGAGAGGACACCTGTTTGCAGGTGTCTGAACCTGGCTTTGTGAGCATCTCCTGGGCCTCACCCAGTACTTCTGTACTCTGTGGAGATACTTGAATTACTGCTTGAGGGGCAAATATGTGAAGAAATTAAGGTCTGGAATCTTGAGTTGAAGCCTAACACAGGGTCCCCAACAGGATGAAGGGCAGAGGAGGAGTGAGTTTGCTGTAATATGTCCTGTCACACTTGAAGCAGGACTTCAAATGTGTCCTGGTGCCTGTGTGCATCAGGGAGTGTGTTTCAGTCTTGATAGCTGGACATGAGGGCAGGGGCTGGGAGGAGTGGAGCAGCTCACCTGCCACGAGGGGCTCACCCCAGAGCTCTGAGCACCCAAGGGGGACAAGCCCTCCACTAGCTTGGCTCTTCATAATGGTCTGCATCAGTGTGAGAGCTTTCACTAGAGCCTGATGGACTGGAAGCCTCATTGCACCCGAGTGAAAAACCTCACTTGTGTGGAAATCTTTCATCCTTTATTCTGAACATACAGAGGTGCAGATCTTGCCAGAGATGTGTGCTTGGTTACACATCTAAACAGCCACACAGTAAATGAATCTCCCACAGGCTGCTGGGGAGGAGGGAGAGATTTATGAAGGCTGTTTCTGTTTTATATACTTGGGAGGCATTGAGGTGACATGGAGATAAATCACCATGTGTACCATATTTACATGAGTAGGCAGAGATCATCTGGTTCAATTTTCTAAAATGCTTGTAATTCTCAGAAAAATCCTGGGTGTTTGGGTGGTTAATATTTCTGACTAATGGAATGGAGTCCTGGGGAAGGAATTATGCTGCCGTTGTTCTGTTGTGCCACTGAATAAATACACGGTGTGCCTACTGGTATATTGTATATGGTGCAGGTCTGCCACCTCAAGAAGCATTGAATAAACCAACATAAGGTATGGAAAAAGGTGACCAGAAGGATTGAGTGGTTTTTATACAAGGAACAGCTGAATGGAATAGGACTTAGCAAACTGGAAAAGAGATAAGTGAGATTGAATAGACTAAAAATAAAATCATGCCTGTCATGTGGAAAGTAAATAGGGAATGATTATTTTCTCATAATGCAGGGACTAGTGGTCATCACACAGAGTAATGAAAACAAAGAGATGTATTTTTACCCTGTGCATAGCTGGCTGGTGGAAGTTTGCCATGGGAAGCTTTACTTGCTACAAGCTAGCATTGATTCAACTCTAATATCGATTCAAAAGACTTAGAGCAAATTAATTCCTGGAAGAAAAATCAGCTCGAGCTATTTAAAGTTACCATCTTTAAATGGTATCTTCAAATACCTCAGGAAGGCAGAGTGGCAAATTGCAGGGTTATATTTTCCAAGAGTTACTGTGCTTCCCCAGTCATGGTGAATCTTTGGCTCTGGTTTTGGCTACAGAGGTTGAATGATGAGCTGAGGAGGCTGATGGTTTGATAAATTGTGGGACTTCTCAAGTACTTCATGGCATGAAACTTCTTTCCAGTTGGCAGTGTGTGCTGTGGAAAAGGGTTGGGATGAGGTGGCTTTCAATCAGGAAGGACAAGCATGTGCAGGGGGTTTGTTACATAGAGCTTTTTTGTTTTCCAAGACTGAGGTTTCACATTACCATGTGCAATACTTTTGCTTTTTTTTTAAATGAAACATGTTTTAAAAGCTCATGGGTGGTGTGTGCATGTCTTCCTCCAGCTGAAAGACCAGCTCTCTGAGGCTGAACAGATGCACAGCAGTGAGTTAGAAGGGATGAAAAGGGAGATCTCCAGGCTGACCCAGGAACTGCACCAGAGGGACATCACCATTGCATCGGCGAGTGGCTCCACCTCAGACCTGGAGCAGCAGCTCAGAGCAGAGATTGAAAGAGCAGAGAGGAAAGCAGTGGAGCACAGGGTAAAAAAGGCACAAAACTCTTATGCTACGTGTTTAAGGGATCTGAAGGCTTGAACACCATGCTGGTTTTTAGCTACATTCGTAGTTTCCTTCTCTCCTTAGCCTCTGTACAAAAACTGCGACCTTTTGAAGGAATCTTTTAATGATGGTGTTCACTGCATCTGTTTTGCAGCTTCTTTTCAAACAAGCAGCCTGTAGTCCCACAGAATTCTTTGGGATCACCCATGCTAGCTAGGCCAGGATGGATAACATCTTTGAAAACTGTGCATGGTTATTTTTGTAGCCTTCTCTGTAGGATCCCAGTACAACTAGCAGCCCAAATCTTGCTTAGTACTTGAGTTTGAGGGTGGAAAATGCTTGGAGGGTGTTGTGGGCATGCACTGTGTTCTTTTTCTGAGCTTGTTGTGTGCCTTTGCCTCCTCAGGTAATTCTGGTCCAGCTGGAAACTTTGAGGCTGGAAAACCGTCATCTCTCAGAGATTCTGGAGAAAACAGAGTGTGGTAAGCTGAAGGTATGCATTGAGCAGCAGGAGCTGGGAAGGGGCTAGCCTTGTGTTCCTGCCTGGGAAGAGTCAGAGTCTTTACCCAGGTCTCTCAAAATGGGGGATAGAGCTCAGTGAACTTAAAACCCAAGCAAAAGAGGTAATTTGAGAGGAAATAAGGTACAGAAATACCAAGCATTTGTTCAGTCTCAGAGAGTGGTGAAGAGAACTGCAGAAGCAGCAATCATTTCCACGTCTTCTCCATGGGCTTTGGCCCACATATTTTAGTACATTTCATTAGACTTCTATTTTAAGCCACTTTACCACAAACCTTTGATCCTCAACCTGTCGTCCTTTTGCCCTGTCCTAGAGCTGTAACTGCTCTGGCCTTTGAAATGCTTGGGGTGAGAGCGTGTTCTCCTCTGGTGAGGAGCCATTCAGCAGGGCTCTCCTGTGTTCCCCATAAGCAGGATGCAGACTGGGAATATGCGCTGGATGTGCTGGGGCTGGGTTCTTGAAAAGGGCCCTGTGGTGGGTTCCTGCAGCTGAACAAAACCTCCAAAACATCTTGAGGCAGAGGGGAGAAGAGGAGCCTGCATGGAAGAGGTGCAGCCTTGGCAGAAATAATGAGTTGACTCATTTTGTGAAGGAAGAAGTGGCTGGTTTGAAAGTTCTGTCTCAACTTAAGCAGAATGGTTGCTTCCCAGGGGGCCAGGGCTGGATTCAGACAGCTGACAACCTCAGGAGAGTATGTCAGAGCTTTTATCCTGTTAGATCTGTGGGAAGGAAATACTCAGCTCTTAGTGTTAGTGTGGGGTGATTGTCAGATGCGCCAAGTTCCTGGGAAAGTGCTGAACAGAAGCTTGTGGCTGGTGAGATGGATTGAAAACACAGCTTTCTGGAGGCCTGGTTTGAAACTGAAATAACCTAAGAGCCCCCCATTACTTTCTGCTTGAAAGGTGCCTGGTGACTTTTGCATGTGTGAGTTCCCAAAAATGTGATAGCAGTGTGCAAAGCAGGAAATCTTCCTTAAAAAAAGCCCCAGAGCCCTGAGGCACAGGAGCTGGATCTTGGCCTGGTGGTCCTAATGCCCATTTGGAAAGACCTTAGATACAGAGGTGATGAGAATGAATTAAGCATCTAAGTTTAATAGAACTGGCAAAAAGAAAGTGAGGATGTCATAGGAGTAGAAGCAGTGGAAATTATACCAACCTGGCCCAGTAAAAAGATGATGGAAAAAAGCAAGTTGTTCAGAGTTTCAGAAAGGCCAGAGGCAGGTACATCTGAACTATCCTACGTTCTATCTATGTTCTCCTGTTTTAAAAGGAATCCAGTGGTGAGAGAGACTGACCTTCCCAGGCAGATCAGCACATTGGGTCTGGATGCAGGCCCAATAAGGCATATATATAATTATATATAATTAATTTTCTCCTAGAAAAGTCTTGAAGGTTTTGCCAGTCAAAATGCAATTAGGGGATATGCCTTAAGGAATCTCTTGCTGGCCTTTGCTCTGGATGTCACTGTGGTGTCTTGCAAACCAAAACTTCTGCTCTTCTTTGTTAGGGGGATGGTGGCACCCTGAGAGCCCTCAGGGAGGACTATGCTGTTGAGCTCCAGAAATTAATATCTGAGAACCAGCAGCTGCGGAAGGACCTTGCAGAGACCAGGGCAAAACTGGGGGTCACTGCACAGGGGTGCCCACATGAACCCAAGGGCACGGCTCAGCAGGGGCAAGGCAAAGAGCCCAGGGATATACAGCACAGGTGAGTGACCCCAGGGATGCTGCTTCCTCAGGGGGAAGGAGAGCAGGAGGTGTGGGGATGTGTGGGGCTCAGTGGCATGCTGTGTCTCTCTCCAGTGCATCGTGTGTCTGGGAGAACACAAGCACTGTTTGGGAATCTGCCTTTATGCCTTAAGCATTGCAGTAGCTTTGAGTCCCAGCTGGTTCGTGTTCTGCAAAGCCAGCAGTGTTTGTCTTTTGTCTGCCTTTGCCTCTCTCTGGAGCAGCAGTGTGTGCTGTTTTTGGTGACAGGATTAGATGTGGCCCAGGCGGCTGAGCTCCTTTCTGTTGCAGTGCTAGGATGTGCAGGCTGTGGGTTTTGGTATCTGCAGTAGCAGAAGAGAGAGAGAAATCCACAGGGACTGTATGTGTGTCTGGAAGCGCTGTGGAAACAAGTTTGGATTGCCAGGGCTGTTAGTAACATCTATGTTAATTGCTGCCTCTGTGTGAGTTTTTGCTGGAGTACAGCTGCTAAGAGACAAACTCAGTTCTGTGCTCAAACCTGCCTTCCAGGACAGCTCAGGAAGCACAGCACGAGCAGGATGAACACACAGGGAGGACACATCTCCAGCCTGACAGGACTGCTCAGCATCATCACAGGGACTCCCAGAGGTGTGGGGCTGCTGAAACAGCAACTGTGACCCCTGAGACGGGTGAGCCACCCTCCCAGAGCAGCAGCAAGAACTGCAAGGAGTCATGTGCCTGGCTGGGAGCAGAGTCTGTGCTCCATGCAGTGGATGAAAACAAAGATTTTGCAGATGAAGCATCTAAGCAGCCTGCCTCAAATCGTCACAGAGAATCTGTGTCTTTGGTAAGCAGTTGTACGGGAGCTAGTTGCTGCTCAACAGCTGAAATTAGAGCTGGGTTCTCATTTGGCAAAAGGAGACAAGCTTTTGAGTGCATGACCTAACTGCATGTTGTCTGTGATCCTGTAAGTAAATTAAATGTTGAACAGAGAAGGAAAGCCCTGCTGGATGGTTAAGACTTGGCCAAGGGGATCCGTATGGTGGCTCTTCAGAACTCCTTGGAGAAGAGCTTTATGTTTATGTGCTTGCTAAGTTAATTCCAGAAGCTCATGGTTCTCTCTGTGCTGGTGCTGTACCTCAGTGTGTACCAGGACCTGCTTGTCTGCCCTCAGAATTCTACTTCAGCTTTTGGCTTGGTTCTGTAGTAGAGACTCAGAGTGGATGTGGAGTGCTGAGTATGTCAGTATTTCCCAGTCTCTGGGTGACTGCACATCTGTAAAGCACAGGGTGAGTTTTACCCCTTTTCAAAAGGCTGCAGCAGTCAGCACACTGAACTTAATGCTGCTTATGCTTGCTGATGACAAAGCCTGAAATCCCTGCTTCACTGCACAACGGGAGCCTGTTCTTTTTCCCAGTTGCTGATCGTACTTTTTTCCATAGGGAGCAGTGTTAGCACTTTCTCTGTCTTAGCTCAGTTGCTGAAGCACTTGATCAAGATTCACAAAATTTTCACTCAATCAAGTCTTCGTGTCGTGTTCTGAGAGGGGAGAATGTTGAGCACTGGTCCTTGCTCCGGACCTGTTGTCCCAGCAGTGTTCAGAGCAGTTTTCTCCTCTGTTTGTGTGTTGGTAGCAGTGACAACTATTAAACTATTAGCTATTTTTTGTGGGAGTCCAGAGAAGAGGCTCTAAGACTCTAAGATGGAGGCTTTTCAGGTTTGTAGATCTTGATCAAGTTTACTGGGTCTTGATTTTTCAAGACTAAAGTAGCTAGTGCACATATGCAGAAAACAGTGTTGGGAACTTAGGGAGCTGCAATATTGTAAATGGAAACTCTTCAGGTTGCAAGATTGAGCCTAAAGTGTGAACAGTTCTGCTTCAGGGTCTGAGAAGCTCTAGGGTTTGATGTTTAATAAAAGAGAATGGGCTGCTATTTATTCTGAGAAGTAGAAATAAGGTTTCTAAGGAAATGCAGATATTTCTCATGGTGTTGATTGGGTCTCCCTGTTCATGGTCAGGCTCCAGTGTCTTTAAATGAATTCCTTTACACTAAGAGAGGAGAACTCTTATCAGTAGGCAGTAGTGGGGTAGGAGAGATTTGCTTGTCTGTAGCCTTTTCTGTTTCCCTTTGTTCCTGGCTGTTGATAAGACCTGAAAACCACGAGACTCCAGGATTTGGAAATAACCATTTATTTTCTCTTGCCAAGACACTGAGACAACTTGTCTGTAATGGAAAGCAGCCCCTTAGTAACCTCAATATTTCACGTGCCAGCCCCTGTGCATGAGGCTTCTCTTCATCAACTTGTACATTAAGCCTGGTTTACAGTGTTGTTTTTGTAAGTTAATAACTTGTGGCTAAGTGATGTGAGGAGCAGGAATAGTTCTTGACTGTAAAGGAAAGAATCTGGAGTAGTTTGTTGACCATTGCTGGCTGGCTGAAGTGCTGTTCTGTGAGCTGCAATGGGGTTTGGCCTGTGCTTGCCTGTGGGATTGTATCAGGAGCCCATTACTTTGGGGAAAAGAAGGGAGGTGTATGAAAGAAAGCAGAGATATTCCCAGTGTGGAATATCTGGTAAAGTAATTACCAATGTGACAGTGCTTTCCCTTCCCTGGACCCAAACTCTGAGGTGCTCCCAGTTGCTGGGATTTTTATGGAGACAAAGAGCAGGATGGAGACCTTGAGTTGCATTAACACCCAGGGCAAACTCCTTGGTATTCTGTAGCTACTTTCTCTAGCCCTGAATTTTTAGTAGTGATTTTTTGGCAGGGTCGGCTTGTTGCAGCAATCATTACTGGCTGGAGGCTGTTGGGAGGAACGTGACCTGTGAAACAGGTGTGAGACCTGAGTGCTTAATCTGCCCACTAAGATGGAAATGAACCCTCTAGGAGCATGTTCAGTTGTGTGATTTGCAGATCAATGGTGTTTCTGGCCAAAACTTGGAATGAAGGAATGCCTGATAATCCCTTTGTTTCCCTTTAGTGCCCCTTGCCTACAGCTTCTGTTGGATCCATTGCTGCACGATACCTGGAAGATGAAGAAGTGAGATCCCAGCACATCCTGGAGTGCCTAAATGCTCACATTGAGGAACTGAAAAAAGAGAGTGCAAAGATAGTGAGACGATTTGAACACCAGGAATAATGTTTCTTGTGGAATTGCAGTGCTGTTTCTTTACATGGTTCCAATCTGTGACTGGGAAGGTGCCTATATCCAGTTGGGATTGGAGTTTCAGAGAGAGGCCACATGTCCCACTTGGAGCTGAATCAGCAGGATGGGAGTTCAGGAAAAGGAACTTCTGTCTGCGTGCTTGCTCTGGTGTGGGGTGTTAGACCACAAACATTTTAGCCGCTTGTCGTACGTCAGAGACCTCTATCAGAGCTATATTCTCACTCACCAAAATTATGGTGTTTTTTAAAAGCAAACCATTTGTTATTTTTTATCTAATGTATTTAAAGTATATTTTATATGTGTGAAAGCATTGAAATAAATCAGAATGGCAAACACCTCTTTTCTTGTTCATACAAATACACAAGGTGGCTCTTGTGGCTTATCTTCCCTTCTCATCAGGAGCTTGGATCAACACCTTCTCCATCACAGCATGGCTATGTTCTTCAAGGGACAAGGAATAAAATTCCTCTTCCCCTTAGGCTATCTGCATTTTTCCAGTTAATTTGCCCTTAGTGGAATTTCTTTATATTCCCTGATTCTTGCAGCTTCTGCCCTTTACAATTGTTTGTAGTATCTGGTGTCTTTAACTTGCTGTACAAGGTGCTTGAAGTACTGCAGAATAGCTGAGGAATGAGTGGCTGAGTTCTGGACGTGGTCATGGCTCTGGGAAAAGAGAAATGGGAATGAGAAATGACACTGGATGGGAGGAGAACCCACAAGCAAGTGAGATTCATCCACACGTCATTGCACCTGCCATGTGAGCTGGTGCCAGCCTGGGTTGAATCTGGACAGTCCAGTGGAGCTGCTGCATCAAAATACATCTGTGACCTCTTGGGGAAAATATTCAGTCTTTCCTCGAGGGAAGTAAGTTGTTAATGAGTGAATAGGATGTAATTCCTATGGACTTGTTTTCTTCTGGGGTCTCTGCTGTTCTCCTGTGGCTGAGTCTTCATGGCCTTTATACAGGCAAGCTTTGGGATGGGGACATTCCATGTCCATAAGTTTCCTGTTCCTTTCAGCCTCACCTTGTGTTAGGGCAGCTCAATGCTGTCAAGGAGCAAGAATTCAAAAGCACCATATGTACACAGAGCCCAACCATTGTGTCAGACAGGTGAGTTCAGCCAAGGGGATGCCTGGCTGCAGACTGGGGCTGCACTTGGGCATGCACCTCTGTATCCCAGAGTTTCAAAATGTTCCAATCCAAAAGTCTTTGTATTTTGCTTTCTTGTGGAGTTCTTTGTACAAGGATAAAAATTTCAAATCCATTCTGGATTCTCATTGTGCAGCCTTTGTAATGAGGTGCTGAACTGCCCCCAGCTGGGGTTGGACTGTGCTCGTTCTGCACAAAGTCAGCCCTGGCCTTGGATCCTCTGCAGAGCTGTCCCATGAGTGGTTTTGGAACATCCACCCTGTCTGTCCAGATCTCAAGTAAGGACTTGTTGGATGTGGGGCATTTTGATAAAATCTGAACAGCATAACACACCAAACTGTTTCCTCTTTGCAGATGAACCTATAGATGCACTGAGTGTGTGATATGCCAGAACCCTTAGGGATCCCTCACAGCCTTCAGTGAGGCCACCAATTTCATTTTTGAAATGATACCTTACAAATAGTATTGTATTTCCTGAAGATTTGTTAAGTTAGTTACTGAGTGTTGCATCATGCTGTTGGCGTTTTCAGAAGTTCAGGAGACATTTTGTCTTGTTTCTGATGTGCTCTTCCGTATCCCTTCAGAGATATTTGGCAGTTCATGTTGGCAGAAGGGAAGAGCAAGACTGGAGATGATCCATTTGCTTAATTAGCAGCTATAATCCTACAGTTTTATCAATTTCTAATACCTCTAATAAGCAGTTTCATTCAGGGAGTAGACTGAAAATTTGAACTAATGTCATCTAAAGTAGCATCTGCAGCAGGGGAACTGCTGAGTTACTTCCCTGTGTTGCTGTGTGTGTGTGCTCTGTCTTTCCCACCTTCTCTCATTGCAGATGCCCTGAGATAACTGAGAAGTCTGTTCCAGAGCTTTTCTCCTGCTGTTGGAGCCTTGGCTGTGCTGAAGAATGTGCATTTTTTATGAGGGGGAGGAGAAGGAGCCGTGTTTATCCTGGAGGGAGATGTCACAGCAAGTGCAGACTTCTGAGGTGCTTTTATCTGTAGCTGCAGGGTTTTTCAGGCATTCTCTGCCTTTGCAGTGTCAAACCTCCCGTGGAATAATCACCTGGCCCTGGAAGCTTTATAATTAATGAAGATGGAGAGGGGGTTTGTGTCTTTGAACTTATGCCTTCGATAGCACTGAAGAATTTTTTGCACACTTGCAGGGCACAGCTAGTGTTTGTTTTCTGTTTGAGACAAAAGTGTGGAACTTTATTTCCAGCATTTCCTTTTGTACATCTGTAGAGTCTGTAGAGTGGGAAGCTGTGCAGGCTTCATCTGTCTTTAGTGTGTTACAGATGTTCTGCTGTGGGTGTGACAGTGCTTGGGGTCACTCTATGAGGGGTTAAAGAGTCTGGGACTCTGTAGATGTGTGGAATTGCAGGTGCCTGGGTTTTGCAGAGTTGGGTTGTAGGAACAGGGAACGCTCCCCGAGGCTGTGCTAAGTAGGGAGCAATAGTACATAAACTGTCCTGTCTACTCACTGAGAGTGTTTGTTCCCCCTGCCATCTTGAGACAAAAATAGAGCATGTGGGCTTAGAGAGAGGGCTTGTGGAAGTGAGTCTTTGAGATAAGGAGCTCAAAGTTCATAGTGGTGTCACCTGTGGAGAGGCTTTACAAAGGGTCTGTTTGTGTGCTTGTGCCTATTTGTGTACGTGTAAGTGAACATCAAATGTGTGGTTCCATGAAGAGTGTCTGTACTTTGGTATCCTTGACCCTGTTGGGTGGAAGAAGTTGTTTTCTTTAGTCACTAAGCTCTCTGGGATGCTTCTTTATCCTGCCATTGTAAGAAGTGATGTATTTGACTGCATCAGCTTGACCCATGAAATGAAAGCTGCAGCAGTGTGTCTTCCTTCATTTGAAAAGTGGGATCTGAGAAAAAAGAGCCCTTCTGCCAGGCACCAGAATAAACCAGGGCTGTCTGTGCTGACAGACAATACCTGCTTTAGCCTTCAAGGTCCTTAGGCAAACAAAAGATCCCGGAGTCTGCCTTGCATCTGTGCTGCTCAGTCTGTGTTGATGCCCAGGGAGCGAGTGCCTGCTGGGCTCCACGGCTTGCTAGTGTTCCTGCAGGGAGGAGCTGCTGCCACCAGTTTTTGAGGGCAAAGACACTGAGCTGTTTAGGGGAGAATTTAAAACCTAATTTTATGCTGCATATGGAGCCTCTTGTCGCCAAGTACAAGAAGACCCCAAAGCTTTGCTGTGCTCCCAGCTTACCCTGGGGTAAACCCCGTTAGCTTACATGTTGTGTTTATGCTTACAGCTCCTGTCTGCAGCAGCCTGCATCCTCACAGAGTGCTGATCTTGGAATCTGACTGCAGGTACTTAAATTGCTGAAATGGGAACTCAGCCCTGCATGCTGGGGTCAAAGGGGTAATGTAGGAGTGAGCCTGCTACAGGTGGGCAGCCCTGTGAGTAATTCCTGTCACTCAGTCACTGAGGAGGGAATGTAGGAATAACCCACCTCTTTTGTGTGGAAGATGCAGCAGCTTTGGGAAGAGAATTCATATTGTTTGGTCAATGAAACAGAGTGCAAAAACATAATAGGTTTATTTTCAATTCAAGCTCAAACATAATACCTCTTGGGTCATGCTAATGCTCACAGGCATCTGATTCAGTTATGAAAATGTTGCTCCATCTCAGGATGTACAGTTGTGGTGGGATTCAGTAGAAGACCCCCTTTGCCTTGTGCATGGAGGCATTTTCCAAGAGTACAGCACCAAATGTTTTGTTACATGGTAATAATGTCACTCAGCCTGCTGTTCCACGTAACCCCGTCAGGTTATAGCTGCAGTATTCCATAGACAGGTTGGAGGAAGGAGTGATTTTTGAGAACTTTATTCTCATTTTTACTGTAATTTTGGTTATGGAAAGACCCATATGCTTCAGATATAATTACAGCAGAAAAAGTCTCTACAATACTCTAATATAAAAAGGTAAAAATTATTGTGTTTATTATATTTAAGAGTCTGTAAAAAGTATTTTTATGGTATTGAAATCTGTAAGACAGTGAAGTGCACAAGGAAACTTCATGTTGCATCTTCTTCCTAACTGTTCTCTCTCCTCAGATGTATTTTGCAATTTGATTTAAATATCCTGAAGTTCCTCATGTCCAGTATTGTTGCTCAAAACCAGGGTGCACTTTCTTCATCCTGCCCCATAACGAGGTGTATTCTTGGAGCAGCCCTAGTAAGACTTTCCTTATGGTCCATAACTTGGAAACCAGCAATCCATGCTGGCACAGAATGCCCTGCAGACAGTCAGTTGTTTTCTTCCAAATATTTGTCTGGACAGTGTTACTGAAATGGAGGAAAGAGTTTTATCTCATGTCTTCCACTGCTGCTCCTTTTTTAAACAGGATTTTCTGCTTCCTTGACCATCTTTGAGCCCGCAGTCTGGCAAAAGCCTGCAAGTGTTGTTCTGCATTTGTTGAAAGAAGAGATTTGGTTGAGAGAATGAGCAATCTCCTAAAGCTGTGCTGGTTTGGGGCACGTTGGGGAGGTTGGTTCATGCAGGTGAGTGAAAGAACAAGGAGTGGGTGTTACTGGGCCTCAACTTCATATCTGAGGACTTTCGAGTAGGTGGTGTGGTTGGCGTTCTCGTGCACCATCACAAACACCTCTCTGCAGCCCGAGGTGCTGCAGGTTCCCTCCCAGACACCCTTGTTGTGGGTGAGAGGGTAGATGTTCTCAGCCTCGACCACCACCTTGGCAATGCCGTGCATTTTGAGTCTGAAGTGGACGTTGCGGTTGGCCGGCAGCAGGCCCGAGAGCGGCTCCAGGATCTCGTAGTCTTGCAGCCACTTGCAGAAGCTCTTGGGGAAGGCCGGCCACTTCACCTCCGTGTTCAGGCACTTGATGAGGTAGTTGAAGATGTAGTCATAATTACCAGGGTCCGACTTCTTCCTGGAGTAGATTTTGAGGACGAAGCTCCCTGCGTGCGGGAGATGCACCTTCAGCTCCACCTGGTTCCTGCGCTGGATCTGCAGCACGTGCCGCCTGCCCATGTCCTCGTCCAGGCTCCTGCCGTCGGTGTGCAGCGTGGTCAGCACGCTGATGTCCTTGCTCAGGGTGAAGGTGAAGGAGCAGCGCCCGTCGTTGGTGTGCAGGACGGGCTCGCTGTGCGATGGCCGCAGGAAGCCCTGGCGCTCTGAG